ATGTCTAAGAAACACAGAAGATGACCCATGTATATAGTTTTCCATGCCAATTTATTATAGCTTCTTTCTTTGCAATATTTGTTTCCTGTCAAAATTGTTGATGCCCAATATCTTCTATCATTGAGAGGATGAAGTATGTCCTATGCAAACTTGAGAGAAGTTCTTTAGTGGATCTTTGAGCAAATAATTCTTGACCCAGACCGGGGTTGCCTAAATGAAACTGACATAGAACCTGAACCACTAAGTCTCCTGATTTGTCCTTTCCCTGCTCTGGTTATTCCCTTTCTGGGTGGTTTCTACAGTACGGGATCCATGTTCACAGCATGGAAGTGTTAACTATCTATACCAGCTGTAGGCTCAGCAGGCCCCTGCAGTGACCCTTTGCAGAAGGAAGGAAAGTCTGTCATTGGACACTGTAGGTTAAGCTGGGATCACCTTCATGTTATCCAGTTCCCACTCACTCTACCAAATCATCTGGAACATTCTTACCCCCAACCCAATATATTGCATATATCCACTGTATACTTGCTGTGAGCACCAGAAGTCCTTGGTTAACCAGGTGGGACCTATTCTTTAGGGAACTTAATGGCAGTCTTCTTCATAGCTGCATTGTCATTGTCTGGCTAGTGCTCTTCTGCATAGGTCAGGTTTAGCAAAGAGAGAAGAGGACTTTGTCTCCTCAAACCCATGTGTTAGTGTCTGAGAAACCTTGACCTGAACCAGCATTCTAAAGTTCCCCAATATAGCAATAATTAGATGAAGGATCAAATGGAAACAAGACTGTCCAGTTATGTGAACTAATGAGGGTGGACCCTTTTGTGGCAGACACTCCTCTAAGTAGTCACTAAGTCATGTAATCCTCATGAGGATCCCATGAAGTAGAGCTATGACTACTCTATTAACTGAGGAGGAAACAGGCACAGAAAAGTTAAATAATCTGCCTAAGGTCACACAACTTGAGACTGTATCCTTCAACACTGTACTGTGTAGCTCCTACACAGGACAAAGCTTGTATCTGGGACCAGGACTCATCAGTAAGATGTATCAATGATTACCTTCCACTTTAAAGTGTAGGTGCTTTATGCACAGAGAAGGTAGGTTGCCCAGTGAGGCACAGAACACAGTTGATGACTGTAGATAGAGTCTGGTTCATTAAGAATGGCCTTGTTTTTCAAAGTTTCTTGTTATGAATAACAGGAAACTGTCAATACATCTTAATCCAAGGTTACATTTCTCAGTGACTTGGAGTTTAGAGAAGATGGACTCCTGAAGTGTGGCCTTGAATGCTCAGTTTGCCCTGAGGCTAGCTGGGCAGCCTTGCAGTGTGTTTGATTCCTTTTATGCAGTCATAGAAGCTGTGCTAGGTGCTCAAGAAAGGCATGAAGGCTGTGGTCTGGCAGACTCAGATTACTAATTTTACCTGTTCCCCTCATCCTTCATCACTGAGCATGATCTGCTTTGATCCTCCTGTTCAGGATTTTTCCAGTTTCTTAAAGTCCTCATTGTCTTCATACATTTTTTCTAATTAGGCAAATAGGAAATTGCCATTTTAGTGTTGTCTCACTACCTTTTTTCCGTTAATAGACCATATTTGGTTCTGCCCAATAATGTTGCTCAAAAGTTACAGGTTATAAGTTTGTTTTTATTAATTGTTAGTATCATTATTATTCTATTGAGACAGATTGTCATGTATCCCAAGCTGGTCTCAAACTCCCAGTCTTCCTGCATTTGTTTCCTAACTGCTCAGATCACCTATATGTTTTATTACATCCGGCTTTGATTCTATATCCTTAGTATTGATTCCAAGTTCTTATTGTTGTTATGTGTTTTGACTAGTCAATAATTATTTTTAAATTAAAAATTATTACGTATAAGGGAGTGTGTGTGTGTGTGTGTTGGAAGAAGGAGTACATATATGCTGAGGTGGGTATGTGGGGGTCAGAATACATCTTTGTGAAGTCAGTTCTGCCTTTTTGTGAGTTGTAGGGATTGAACTCAGGGTTGCAGTCTTGCACACAAGCCTTATCCCCTGAGCCATCCTATTTTCCAGTAACTTGAAATGGAGATTGATTTGATGATTTCTGTAGACATTCATTCACATTGTTTGAAGTTAAAGTTGTACCAAAGGTTTGTATAGGAAAAAGTCTCTCCCAGTACCTCTCTTTCAGACCCTAACTGAATAAAGTCTTTTTCCCTGTTTCTTGGGTGCAGAGACATTTTAGGTGGCTGTAGATACAAGTTATAACTTATATTCCTTTATATTAACCTTATTTGTACAAATAATTGCTCACCATGCCTACCGTTCTACTGTTTCTTTACTTCATGATGTCTTTTTAATTTCTGGGAATAGTTAATTTGTAGAAACTTTCATTCATTTTTATGGCTGCCTAGTTTTCTGCTGTGAGACTAGACTGTAATTTAATCAGGTTTCTTTGGTGAATGTCTAACTTTTGCCCAGTCTTTTGTGAATATATATAATTTTGCAATGAACAACCTTGTATATATGCCACTTAACATACACCAGAGAGTGTTTGAAGCAGAGAGGTTCTCAGAGTAGAACAGCTGAGCCGCAGGATATATAGTCACTTATGCTCCATAAAAGCTGTAAGTTCATATAATTGTAACTAATGTATAGAGTGCCTGCTTACCTGTTTCTTCATAGCCTCTCCTGCTTAGTCAGATAAAAATGGTCTGTTAATGTTACCTTAATTCGTCCATCTCTTTTCATTCCCTGCCTGATGCTAGTTTCTTTACAACCCTCTGCCATTTCCCTGTTGATGTTTCTCTGATTGTCTGTTGTATTTTCTCTTAATTGGTGTTTGTTGTATTTTCTCTTAATTGGTGTTTGAAGGAGGTGTTAGTGTCACTATCTCACAGCAAGCACACTGGGATGTTGGTTTGATATTGTTCCTCCTATCCAGCTATTCTTCAGTGAGACCTAGTGGCATGTCAAAGGAATATGGAGCCTCTTTGAGTTTCAGCCAAAGGGACCAAGCTAGGATTTTTAGGGCAATGTGGTAGATAGTAAATCATCAGGATGTCCATTGAAATAAAATTACACAGGGCTAGCCTATGGGATCTGTTGGCTTCTTAGGTTTGGCTTTGGAGTGAGCACTATAATGGAACTAGCATTAGTTTGTTAAGCTACTTGGATGCATGGATGGTCTGGGAAATGCTGTGTGATCTCGTTTCAGAACTGCTCAGCCCTGTCCTAACTGTAGAAGCTGATTAATTGGTGACAGAAACTTCACTGTCAGCTTCTGTTTTTAACCCTAGGACAGTCCTTATCAAGGCAGCTCTTTGTATGCCATGTCTCTTCATGTTCATACCTGGTTTGTGGGATAACTTTTGTGTGTGTGATTGTGTGTGTGAGAGGGCACACAATGTGAATGTGTGAGCTTGTGTGGAGACTAGAGGGCAACTTTTGTTCTCTTTCACCTTTCTATAGGTTGTGGGGATCAAAGACTTGCACAGCAAGGGCCTTAACCCATACAGCTTTGTGGGGGAGGGAGGAGAGGTGTTGTTCTTGTTGTTTGGGTTTGTTGGGTTGGGTTGGGTTGGGTTGGGTTGGGTTGGGTTGGGTTGGGTTGGGTTGGGTTGGGTT